CTGAGGGGGCGGGGCATATGGGATGAGTTGGGAGGGGGTCAGGGCCTCACAGGCTGCTGGCCCGCCAGGAGAACCGGCTGGCTGCTCTGGACCTCGCACCAAAGATTCCCATGTAGGGAAGATGGAGCCTCACTCTTCCATTTCCACCTTCCTACTTTATCATCATCATCATCATCGTCGCCGTCTCTTTTCGGTAGTTTGTATTACTCCTACACAATGCTAAGTGTCGTGTGGGCCAACGCCAAGTTCCTGGGGCCCCAAGTCTGGTCATTTCAGGAAACCTAGGGCAGGCAGGGCCCCTCCCGCCACCCAGGCCAGTGAGCTGAAGGGCAAAGGCAGCTCTCTTGGTGGGGTCTGGGGAAAGGCGGAGCCCGGGACCCCCAGAACTGGGTTTTAGAGTATAGCCGGCCGGATGCAGGGCTGCCCACACCTGCCCTCTGGAGCACCTGCGGCCTCGCTGGGCCCACGCAGTACCTTCCCGGTGGTCTCGATGCCACGGATGGTGCACAGGTACAGGACGCTCCATGCACCGGCCAGGCACAGCAGCATCCACCACTGGATGGAGCCCGAGTCACTGATGGACGTGGAGATGTTGAGCGTCACTCGATACCAGAAGTAGTCCACAGGGGAGCTCCTGGCACACTCGTCCACGTACCCTAATGAAAGGGCCATTCACACACCTCAGGGTGCGGATCCCCCAAGGGAGGAGAATGAAAGGCCCTGAGTGAAGAAATGCCAGCTGCTCCAGAGGCCTTGACACCAGTGACACACCCACACGCGCACATGAACACAGGCACACATGCTCACGTGCATGCACAAGCACACCTGCACACAGCACACACGCACAGCTGCCCCCTCGTGTGCACATCTGGTACATGCACCTGCATACCCCACACATGCACATGCACACAGACACACGTGCTCACATGCACGGACACGCAAAGCACACACATGCACACAACACACACGTGCACACAGGCACACATGCTCACGTGCATACACATGCATGTACACATACAGCACACAAGCATGACTGTATCCTCGCGTGCACATCCGGTACATGTACCTCTACACCCCACACCACATGCACATGCACACAGCACACATGCTTATGTGCACACACATGTGTGCATACACATTGCACACACAGGCATATGCGCACACACAGCACACATGCACAGCTGCACCCTTGCATACCCATCTGGTACACACACCTGCACACCCACGTACACACACGCCTTTTTTTTTTTTTTTTTTTGAGACGGAGCTCTGTCGCCCAGGCTGGAGTGCAGTGGCCAGATCTCCGCTCACTGCAAGCTCCGCCTCCCGGGTTCGCACAATTCTCCTGCCTCAGCCTCCCGAGCAGCTGGGACTACAGGCGCCCGCCACCTCGCCCGGCTTATTTTTTTGTATTTTTAGTAGAGACGGGGTTTCACCGTGTTAGCCAGGATGGTCTCGATCTCCTGACCTCGTGATCCACCCGTCTCGGCCTCCCAAAGTGCTGGGATTACAGGCTTGAGCCACCGCACCCGGCCACACACACGCCTTTGTGAGCACACGAGCACACATGCCTACACAGGTGCACTGGTTAGAAGGCTCCAGTCCCAACATTCAGGTGCACCCTGGCCTCACGCTGCTCCCTCTTCTCTGTGCAAGTTTGGTGGCCTCAGAGCGTGTGTGCTCCTGGGCTGGGGCCCTCGCCTGCAACTGCCACTCCACACACTGTCACCACCGTGGGCCTCTCTGGGCTTGTGGAACCACCCTGAGACCCTTCTAAGGAGGAAGTGGTCTAATTCCAGAGGACCCCACGCCCCCAGAGGCAGGAAAGGGCTCCAACAGTCCCAGAGTGCAGTGAGGGTTGCACGTATCGTGAGAGGACCTGTCTTATTCCGACCCGAGGGGCCGTCTCGCTGGCCTCAACAGAACAGCAGCATGCAGGGAAGTCCCGCTGGCTCCACTGTGCTGGTCAGACCAGAAGCCGGTGCTGACCAAGCCATTCAGGCCCCGGGGCCACTTGTGAATCGCCGTGAGCCGACTGCATGTCACACGTAGAGGGTCTGTCCCCTACGCTCCCTCCCTGGACAAGAGGGTTCTGGAAGGGCTGGAGTGAGATGGCAGTGCGGGGCCCACATGGGCAGGACAGACCCACCTGTGCAGAGCAACGCAGGGATGCATGGGGCGGGAGGCAGCAGTCCTGACACCACGTCCCTTCCTGGAGAACAGGGAGCAGCCTCCCAGCAGCCCCGGACTCCAGGCTGGTGACCACAGGCCCTCAGAGCGGGCACAGCCCCCGCTGGGCTCCCACACTTTCCTCCAAGGGCCTCATCCTCCACCACACCCCCGACAAAAGAGCCACCACTTTGAAGGCCTTTTCTCTGGCGCTGCCATTTTTTGATGCCCAGTTGCCTTGGGGCTCTGGTTTCTGCCACACCTGATCTGAGTTTCGTGAGGCCATGTGCCTGCTAGGAGAGGCACGGCAGCCCACAGGTGAGACGAACGGGGCTGCTTGCAGGGACTCACCTGTCCGGTTCTCGTTGAGCGGGCACTCGCTCCAGGGCAGAGGCTCCTGGAAGGAGTTGAAGAAGTACCACATGATCCAGGAGATGATGGTGTTGTAGTACAGGCCCACCACGAAGGACACGAGCATGGAGGCCAGGCCTGCAGGGAGGCTGCTGCTGAGGCTTGGGGCCGAGGCACGCCCTCCTCTGGTCACCCGTCCCCACTCTGAGCAGGAGGTCCCAGGGCTGGCACAGGGTGCGGCCAGGATGGGCTGCCCCAGAATCTGAGGGGCAGACCCAGTGCGGGCCGGGATTGTGCAGCTGATGCCGTGGTGCAGCCTGTACACGCCTTCCCGGCTCACATCTGCCCTGCACACACCTCCCCTCCACGCGCCTCCCCTGCATACGCCTTCCCGGCTCACACCTTCCTGGCACATGCCTGCTTGGCTGGCCCCAGGCATGGGTCTCACCTGCCCAGTGCAGCCTCCAGCAGGTGCATCCAGGCCACGGCCTTGGCAGAGAACTTTTGATGTACCAGTAGCCTGGTTGCTGCCTACGGGCTGGGGGGACTGCCCACTTGGCCCTGCCCCAAACCAGGAAGCCCCTGTGCCCAGGACAGGTGGGTGGGCTTCAGGAAAACCTGTGGAGGACTCCTGAGAGGGGAGACAGCAGGAACTGCAGAGGGGAATCTTCTCAATTATTTGGGGACAACTAGGCAGGATGGAGAGTGTGCTGTGTACTACACGCTTTATCGAAGTTTCAAACTCACAACCAAATGTATGTTGTGAATATGTGAGTGTGAGATGGGTAAGAGAGACAGAGGGAGAGACACAGATGGGGAAGAGAGAGAGACACACAGAGAGCAGGGAAGAGACAGAGAGAATAGGAGGGGGAAAGAGGAAAAGACAGAGAGGGGAATGAGAGCGGGAGAGAGAGTGGGGGGAGGAAGGGAGGGAAGGGAGAGAATAGGAGGGGAAAGAGAGAGCGACAGAGACAGAGAGAAAGAGAGAGAGAGGAGGGAGGTCTTGGAGACTCAGGAGAGGGTGTGGGCACGGCCCTGGGCCTGGAGGGAGGCCTTGGAGACTGAGGGAGAGGCCGGGATGAGGGTGTGGGCTCTGCTCCAGCCTGCAGGCTTCTGAAGGGCAGGTGCTTCCTGGACTCAGACCCCTTTCTGGACTGGACCCTGCCCTTTCCTCCTCCGTCTTTCACCGCCTGCCCATATTCTGAGGCCTTAATGAGCCGTGTCCTCTTGGTGAGGCTGCACTGGGTCTGCTCCTGGGCCCCAGAGTTTATAAATGAATGACTATGTCTGGGGGTGTCGGTGCTGGGGACCTCCTCACTACATGTGGGGGAGTGGACACAGGAGGCTGGGAGGGCAGTGGCTGGCGCCCCCTCCTGGGCCCTGGGCTCTCGCTGAGTGCCGCCCTGAGCAGGGCTTGAGGGGTCACTCTGCTGTCCAGAGTCTGGACCCTCCTGGGCCCTGGGCTGCCAGGGACTCGGGCAGCCTCTGCTGGCCTGTCTGGTTCCTGGTGACCAGGAGTGGCCTGGAGTTTCCAAAGGTCTCCAGGAGGAGATGACCCTGGGACCTTTGTTTTGCCAGACACAGACAGGGAAGGCGGAGCGGGGGCGCTGAGACCGGCAAGGCGAACCCTGGGCCCGGGTGGAATGGTTCCACGGCAGAGGGGACCCCTGGGCCCGGGTGGAGCGGCTCCGAGGCACTCACCTACGCCCTTCAGGGCTGGGTGGATGGAGCTCCACACACCCAGGCTGCCCCGCCGCAGCCGTTGCCCGATGGCGAACTCCAGGTGCAGCAGGGGGATGCCCTCCAGGACCAACAGGATGAGGAACGGGATCATGAAGGCTCCTGCAAAGGGAAGAGCCCGCCACGCCTGAGAGCTGGCCCCCGGCAGCAGGAAGGCCTCCCTCAGGAGCAGCCATTCACAGCACCCTGCAGCCCCTGTGGCTGGCCCACCGGGGGGAACAGAGCTGAGATGGAGCAGCCAGTCCATGGGATCAGGGCCAGAGCTGACTCCACGTTCTGGAAGCACTGCTGGGCAGCTGGCCGTTCCTGACCATCACACAGGCTGAGGCCACCTGTGGGACCTCAGGACGTTGTGGTCGTTAAGGGAGGTGTGGTCCATGCCCCGCGTGCACTGACCAACCTGCAACCACAGCCGCTGCCTGTGAGTCAACCTCCCTGCCCACCCTCTGGCAGTCCAGGGGTCCCACGGAGGAGCTGCTTTTGCCTGTCCAGCCACGGGCTTCCAACAGCAGCGTGCCCGCCCCTGCCCCACCTGCGCCGGCTGCACCTGCCATGTCCTTCCTTGGCTTAATGAACGTTCTGTGGATTTGGCATGCCTGTGGGGAGGGACTGTTTCCTGGCCATGTGTGGCCTCAGTGGGGTGTTAGGGTTTAGTGGGGACCGTTTTGGTTCTTAAGACAGAGTTCTAAAGATGGACCTGGGTCCAGGTGCTAGTTACATGGCATTGTGAGTGTCTTTAATACCACTGAACTGTACGTGCAAAAATTATTAAAATGGCAAATTTTACATATATGTATTCAGCAACAATAAAAAATTGCAAAAAGGAAAACTACATTGAGACATTTCTGCTTCTGCTGCGACTACGGTTTTGTCTTATGGGGGATCTACCCACCTCCGCTCTGCTGCCTCTTTGCCCTAAAAGGACAGCTTCAGCCATCATTCTGGGGCTAATTCTCTAATTTGGAAAACTGAAAAATCACCTTTGACTTAAGATGCTATTTAATCTTTGTGAAATTGTAGTCATTCATTCTGGGCTAGAACTGTAGCAGGAAAGTGGGACTGTCCAGGCACTGAGAGCGATCACTCATGGTCTAAACCAAGGGCCACTTTTAGTGTTTCAACTGGCTGGAGAGTTGTTTGTTTGAACATTGGTTTGAACTGGATAAAAGATAGGGATGTGCTGATCCTGAGAGGAAGCCACGTGGCTCCTGCGGTCATCAGACGTAGAGGCTCAGAGTCAGCCTGGGACCGGGAGAAAAGATTCAGGAAAAATCGCAGATGCTTAGAAGGATTTCACACTCACGTTTCCTCATGTCTTTAAATTCTGTCTCTTTCGAAAAACCAAAGCTGAAAAGCATAGGTCGGCTTCCTCTCAGAGCCCAGCACCTGGAGAAGGGGCCTGGCCGTGCCCACGAATTCCACTCGCCCGGCCAAGCGGGCGGCCCTGACCGCTCCCTCTGTGGGTGGACGCACAGCCTCCCAGCTCAGCCACAAGGCCCCAAGCCTACACACACAGGATGAGCTGCAGCCACTCCTGGGCGTCGTGACAGTGCCCAAGGTGCTTGGCAGAGGGAGAGGAGAGACACGACCTTGGCAGGACTCCCATCCAGCCAGGGCAGCGTGGACACCGGTGGGTCCTTCGCCCAAAGGTGGAGAAGGACTAGGGTCAGGGAACAGAAGAGAGGAGTGCAGGCCACGGGGCCCGACTTCCGAGGCTGGCCTGACACCACGCAGTGCGTCTCCTCACCGAACCCGAGCACCCTGCTATGGGGACGCGGAAGCAGCTCCCGTCGCACCTACCCCAGGCTGGACGGAAGGCCCGCGCTGCAGCCGGGGTGAGCACAGCGAAGCCAACAGCCTTTGGGACCGGGGTCAGCAGCTGCAACAGCGCAAGAATTCCAAACACAGCTGTGGCTGAAGGGCCTGGGGGTGTGCAGGTCCTAAACCCCCATGAGCCTGATCCCAACCTGGGTCCTGTCTCCTGGGCCACCTTTCCGTCCCGTGGTGACTGACCCTGAGAGGGAGGGCTGTGGGGCTGCTCACATGACACTGGGGGCCCAGCAACAGCCCCTCCTCACGCGGCGTGTCCCTGGGGCCTCTCAGACGGGATGCGTGACCCGCCCGCCTGCACCCGCCCCACCAGCAGAGCCAAGCCCCCATCATCCTCCCGCCCCCAGGCCGGGCTCCCTCACTCTCCTTCCCCACACACGTGTTCCATTTGTTCTTCTCCCACCAAATCGCTTAAACCCTGAGCTCCCCCCATTCCCTCCCCATTGCCTCCCTTCCCCGACTCAGCCACTGTCTCCCCAGCCAGCAGGGCCATGTCAGACCCCAAACTACCATCCTCAGGGGATGGCACTGCACGTGTGTGAGAGACGGAGACACACGCAGAGACAGAGACACAGAGAGACAGAGACAGAGAGGGAAGCAGGGAGAGAGGCAGAGACACACACAGACATACAGAGACAGAGTCACAGAGAGGGAGACAGAGACACAGAGAAAGAGACAGAGAGACACACACACAGACAGAAACAGAGAGAGACAGAGAAGGAGAGAAATAGAGACAGGGCGATGGAGAGAGAGAGACAGAGAGAGAGGAGGGAGGGGTGGGTAGAGGCGGGAGGGAGGTGCCAGGTACTGGCGGCCGTGACTTCCCTACTTGCCCCCTGCCAGCCTTTCTCACTCCTCCTTCTCCCAGTTTAACACCAGCCTCTTCTCTCTCCTCCTCCCTCTGTCCACCTGGTGCCTGCCTGTTGGGTGGAACAGGGCCCTCTGGAGCCTGAGGCCTCTATCCCCACACAGGTCCTGGCCTGTGCACAGGTCCCTCTCTCTGAGCTGGGGCTCCGGGGACAGGTTCCTTCAGAAGCAGGAGCTGTAGGTGGGGAATTCCAGGAGAGCCAGGTATGTAGGGTGGGCTGCCGGGATGCTGGATTCATCGTGAGATGAAAGGCAGAGGGGAATGGTAGCCAGGTATAGGAGATGCCCACCAGCCGGTCCCCAAAGCCAGGCGCAGGAAACGCCCACCAGTAGGTTCCCCAGGCTGGGTGCAGGAGACGCCCACCAGCCGATCCCCGAGGCCAGGTGGAGGAGATGCCCACCAGCCGGTCCCCGAGGCCAGGTGCAGGAGATGCCTACCAGCAGGTTCCCTATGGGAGGGGGTGGGGGCTGCAGGCTCACCTGCAGGGACACCCAAGACCTCAGCAGGGCCTGCTCATTGGGTTAAAATAAGAAAAGATTCACTCCTCCAATTTTTTTTCCCAAGAGCTTGATTTGAAACTCTTCCAGACAAAACTACCAGGGAAAAAGCAAGTGCATGATCCCAAACGTCCTCCATCTCCTCCCTTCCCTCCACTATGCCCTAACCCTAAATGCTTGGGTCTTCCTACCACTCCATCTCCATTGAGAAAACTCCTACTCAGCCTTGAAAACCCCACCAGGGTGTCCCCTCTTCTGAGAGTCTCAGTTGTTGCCCTTGCTCCTGGTGGCTCTCCTTTCTGAAAGTTCCTTGGGGCAGGAGACCCTCAAACCCCCGACCCCTGGGGTTCAGGCTCAGCATGGAGCAGTGAACAGAGAGGACTGGGGGGCACACACCCACTCTACCCCAAACGCAGCCCGGAGGCAGCCGGGCCCTCCCTTGCTCCCAATGAAGGGGGCTGTCCTGCCCCAAGAAGCTCAAGGAAAGCCAAGCATTCTCGACAATTAAAGCCACCAGAATATGAACATTTGTCTTTTAAACCCAGCGACTTCTTCCTAGTGTGGAGTGAGGCGCAGAGGAAGGAGAGAAGGAGAGAGGGCTGCCGGCGCCCAGACAACACTGCATGGCTTCACCTGATGGGGCAGTGCAGGGCGCCTGGATGTGGTTGCAAAGGTCCCTGGAAACCAGGCCTGTCTGCTGCGCTGCAGACGTTGGCTCACTCAGGTAGAAGCAGGTAACGGAGAGAGTGGGGCGGGGAAGGGGGACGTGGCCAGATGGAAAGCAGCCAGAGGGAAAGAGACACTGAGCACAGACACACAGTTCCTCCTGTCTGTCCTGAGTGGGAAACCAGGAGAGGGAGGAGCGGGGAGGAGGGAGCTGCAGTTCTCTCGCAGGGACTAAGCTTCCCCTTTTTTCTCTCTCCAGCAGGTGGTGTTTGTGGCACCAAGTAAATGCTGCCTGGATTTTTGCTAAGAAATAGCTGTAGACGGACTCAGGGAAAAGCTGACCCCGGGGCCAGGTGCTGAGCAGCAAAGAAGAAACAGCCGGAAACAGCTGTGCTGGGGCCACACGGTCCTGGAAGGGGCGGCTCCTCAGGCTCCCGCCTCTCTCACGGGCATCGTCACTGGTCACTGCCGTGTGCGGAGGAGCTGGGGGGCAGCCCCTGAGGGGCCAGCTGTGGAGTGGGCTCTGTCAGCAGCCACTGACGGGGACACACGGGGCAGCCGAGGTTTCTGGACAGACTCAGGGGGCCGTGAATGCGTCTCCGCCTGGGCCGCCGGCACTGTGGGGCCCCGCCGTGGGGACGTGGTGCTCCCAGGTGGGGGTGAGTGGGGTGAGCCCTGGCTGACCACGTCTCACGGCTTTCGGTTGCTGTTCCTGCACACCCGCCCCCCACCTGAACACCGCCCTCGGGGGGCTCTGCCATCACACCCATTTCCCAGGTGAGAACGCCCAGGCACAGCACGCCCTTGAGCTGGCTCAGGTGAGCGGTGGCTGAGTTTGGAAATGCCCTTCCTTGGGAAAGGGTCCCTTGAGCCTGCCCACCTGGCACAGGCTCTCCAAGGACAGCAAAATCTGTTAAGACACAGGAGACTCGGAGGCGTAATGATTTTTAACCTCGAAGGACAATCCCAAACACTCAGGAGGCTTCCAGGAGGGAAGCCAGGACGACCCGGCTGCCTGCTTCCCCTCGATTTGGTCTTGGTGACCCGCGTAAATTAGGAAATCTGGTGTCACTGACACGGCGTGCATGCTGGAGCCCTAAGATGCACAGAGAGAGGGCGCGCTGTCTGTGGGTGCGGCCTCCCAGGGATGCTGCCTGCTCCACTGTTTTGGCGCCCACGAGGCCCCCGGAGCCGGAGGCGGGGACCCTGTGTCCCCAGGTCCTTTCAGCTGCCTCCCTGAAAGCTCCCTGGCGGCCGAGCTGCAGCCCCGATTAGATTCACCAGGAGACGAGTGCCCTGGTGGGAAACCCAGTGGCCTGCAAAGCCATCTCCCATTCTCAGGGTCCTGCCCTGCTAGCCCGAGTCCCTCCGGCTGCAACGCAGGCTTCAGCTCTTTTAGGCTGGTGGTCTGGTGTGTGGGGTCCTGGTCGGCCCCCACAGCGTGACCAAAAGGCACGGGGTTCCTCCAGGCTGGGGGCACTGCCAGAACCCTGTGGAGCCATCTGTGATGTTGCAGCTGATGGGGGCCCAGGTGACAGTGGCCCTCAGAGTCTAGCAGGTGACTTGGTGGCCCAGCAGAAAGGCCAGGTCAGCGGCAGCTTGTCTGGGGTCTGGGGAGAAGGGCCTGCTGGTGTCCACCCCAGGAGCGGGACCGTCTGAGACCCAGCACATCCCAGAGCCCGGCTCGGCCCTCCTCACCTGGGCCTGCCTGCCCGGAGCCCGCTGCCTGCTGCCCGCACCTGCCCACCCCAGCATGGCCCAGGGTGCGGCGCCAGCATCCGCTGCTTGAAAGCTGCTCGCTCCCAGGCTCCACTGTGCACAGCGGCTGGTCTCTCAGTGTCAGAGTGGGGACTATCTGGACTATCTGAGGTGCTGGGAGCCCCATCAGATTCCCACCCAAACCTACATCTTAGAACTTGCCCGTCTGTGCAAAGACAAGTAACTTCCCAGGCAGGCTCGGGCAGTCCCACCCCCTCCTCTTCCCAGGAGGCATGTGTCTGCCCCTCCGTCCCCAGTGCCTGTGGCTCAGTTTCTCCTCCAAGCTAAACAAACTTGGGGTGTGGGTCAGAGCAGGGATCCTCCCCACAGGACAGGGCCCTGGGGGAGGGAGTGAGGACAGTGGCTAGGAAGTCCCTGAGGCTTTGGTGAGCTGAGACTTGGGGACTGTCAGGGACTATTGCATTGCAGTGGCCGAGGACCCCGCCCTGCCTCCAGTGGGAAGTGCCGGCTGGACCGGAGGCTCGTGAAGCGCCCACCCCCCAAGGCCATGATCAACTCCTCAACAACACTGGAGGCGAAACGGATTCAGGAAAAGCCCATCTCTGTTTTTCTTTAAAAACCTTCCCATCACAAAGCCCGTATGAGAGACAGCAGCTCTCCACGGTGAGAAAAAACAGGGCCCACCGAGGGAGGGCTCTGAACGGAGGCTGAGACCCTCACGGCCCACCACGAACAGCCCCAGGGCGGCAGGAAGCCTGTTTCCTGAGGGCGCCCGGCCCTTCTGGACCTTCCACCGAGAAAGCAGCAGGTTTATGGGGGCAGCAGCTTCAGGGTTCGCCAAGCCCAAGGCCGAGCCCAAGTGTGGGGTCTTATGTGCAGCCCCCTGCCAGGCCTGGGAGCCACTTCTCAGATGCTCAGGGCCACTGAGCAGGAACACAAATGTCACCTCCATGCTAGCAGCGGCCATGCCCACCTCGGCCCCAGTAGCCAGAGGAACGAGGAGCACCAGGCTTGTGTGTCGGGGGGGGCACAGCGGCTCGCTGGCCTCCAGGCCCAAGTCCATAGGCTCTGGCCACCCACTCTGCTCCTGTAGGGTCACCTGCCCCCAACCCAGCTACCTCCTCTGCCCCCTGCACTGGCAGGTGCCCGCCTGTGGGGCTGGGACGAGAGGTGATGCCCAGGAGGGCTTGGCCCTGCGTCCTCCGAGGAGGGGCTGTACCGGGAGAAGCAACCTTTCCCCGGCCCCACCCTCGGGCCAGAACCTTCCAGGACTGCCAGTCTGGAACTCGGGGTCCTCCTTGGAGCCTCACACGAAGCCCTGGGGTCGTGCCGGCCAGGCCCATCTCCTCACCAGCAGCCTAGGAACTGGGCACAAGGGCAGGTGAGGGCCCCAGCTCCCCCACGCCCTGCGGCTTCTCCTCTCCCCTCTGTGCTTGGGGAGCCGAGGGTCCGGGGAGGACGTCCGCCCAGGGTCTCTGCATGTGTCTGAGTTTCCCTGGCCACGGCCTGGCCCGCAGCCCCGCCCGGCCAGCCTACCTCCTCCGTGGCTCTGGCACAGGTAGGGGAAGCGCCACACGTTGCCCAGGCCCACGCAGAAGCCCACGCAGGTGAGCATGTACTGTGCCTTGTTGTCCCACTTGGGCCGGGAGCTGGACTCCTCCTGCTCGATGGTCTCCAGCTCAGCCAGGGACGGGATCCGGGAGTCCAGGCCGGGGTTGGGCAGCGTGAGCCTCACCATGTTGGTCGCTGGACGGCTCCGCACACAGCAGGCAGGGCAGAAGCTGGAGGGCGAGTGGCCGTGGGCTGGGAGCAGGGCACTTTATAGAGAACCTTTGGCACCTCACCCCACGCACCTGGGCAGAACGGAGCCAGCCGTCAGCAGATCTGTAGGGCGCGTCCGCGGAGGGACTGTTAATGCCTTATCTGCAGAGACGCCCAGCCCTGGGGCCAGCAGAGCCACCCACTGCCGTAGGGCAACCGGAGGCTGCTCCGTGGCGCTGGCCACCCCTCCCGCTGCACAAACGCACACAGGTGAGCCGGTGCCCCGGGGAGGAAGAACTGAGGCAAACAAACAGGACACAGGACGCTGGCTCTGCCCCACAGTGTCAGAGCCCCTGGCTGCCGCACACCCCCACCTGCACGAAGCCAGGTGGGCCTCTCCACCGCTCCCTGGAGCACAGGCATCCCCGGCCCCCACCCCAGTCCAGGGAGCTCGGCGGGAGCAGGGGCCACGGGGCAGCACTTGGTCTGCTCACACCAGGCAGTGAGACCCTGGGCCCCTCGGGGCTCTGGGCACTAAACGGGGCCTGGCTTCTCACCGGTACCCACAGAACCATGGCTGCTTGGGTTGTGGCCTGAATCAACCTGAAAGTGGGGTTCCCATGGCTGTGTCTCCGGGGCCACAGTTTCATTCTGGGGTTCGTAATGAACTTCGTCATGAATAGCTTACACTGCCCAACCCCAGCCTGGATGCCCGGATCCCATCCCTGGCTGAGCTGGAGAACACCGAGCAGGAGAAGTCCAGCTCCCAGCCATAGGTTCAGGACCCAGAGCCACCCTCTGGGGCAGCCTCGTCCCCATGGGCCCTCTGGAGTCACTGGCGACGCAGTGTCCCGCGTCATGGAAACTGCAGCCACCCCAGATCCCCGCCTTCCCGGAGACTGCAGGGTTTCTGTCCTTCTGTGGAGCACTTCGTGGGGGGCAGTCCTGTGCCAGGCACGGAACAGCAAGGGGAGATGGTGTCCCTGCCCCCCCCAGCAGAGAGGTCATGCAGGGAAGCCACAGGGCTGACCACGGGGTCCAGGAGAGGCTGGAGGAACGTTGCGGGGAGTTCAGGAGAGGCTCCTACCCCGGGGGTTGTGTCTCCAAAGCCAGAGCGGGGTTCTCTCCTGGTTTTCCACACAGGGAGTCGGGGGACCCCTCCTGTGTCAGGCGCTGCCCATTTGGGCCCCAACTTGGCCTCCCCTCAAGTCTCTCCCATCCAGGAGACCTCAAGCTCTGGAATCCCCCGACCGACTGGCCTTCCTGGGGCCAGGGACGGTGCCACATCCTGCCCCTCCCCAGGCCTTCCTCCTGTCGCCTCCGTTCAGCCTCTGGGGTCAGCTCCCTGGGGGCCCTCGCTGGCCCTCTGCCCCCACTGCCCACACAGCTCCCTCCACAGCCGGGGCCTTCCCGGCAGGCAGGCAGGCACAGGACTCTCTCACTAGCCTCCTGGTTCCTTTATCTCAGTCGCACTGCTGGGTGATAAGGGCCCAGAGCCGCCCCCACCCCCACCCCCCACGAGCTCACCGACACTGGACATTCGCTGAGTAATGGAGATGAAGGCGCTGGGCCGTCACTCAGAGATGAGCACGTTTAGGCGCCTGACCTTTGCCCCTAGGACGCAGGAGGCCAGAAGGAAGGGATCACGCTTGCATTTAAGGACGTCTGGCTTCCAAGCACAGTGCAGGTTGGAGGGAAGGGTGGGGACCTGGGAAGAGAGAGAGAGAAAGACAGAGACAGAGAGACAGAAAGAGAGAGATAGAGACAGAGAAAGAGAGACAGGGAGAGACAGAGAAAGAGAGACAGGGACAGGGACAGAGAGAGGGAGACAGAGACAAGGAGAGACAGAGACAGAGAAAGCGAGACAGGAACAGAGACAGAGAGAGGGAAAGACAGAGACAGAGAAAGAAAGGCAGAGACAGAGACACAGGGAGAGACAGAGAGAGACAAAGACAGAGAAAGAGAGACAGGGAGAGACAGTGAAAAAAGAGAGAGAGAAAGACAGAGAGAGACAGGGAGAAACAGAGAATGGAGAGACAGAGAAAGAGAGACGGAGAGACAGAGAAAGAGAGACAGGGACAGGGACAGAGAGAGGGAGAGACAGAGACAGAGAGATGGGGAGAGACAGAACAGAGAGACAGACAGAAAAAGAGAAAGACAGACACAGAAAGAGACACAGGGAGAGACAGAGACAGGGAGAGACAGAGAGATAGAGACAGAGAAAGAGACAGACAGAGACAGAGAAAGACAGAGACAGAGAAAGAGACAGACAGAGAGAGACGGGGGAGAGAGAGAGAGAGGGAGACATAGAAAGAGAGAAAGACAGAGACAGAGAAAGAGAAACAGGGAGAGACAGAGACAGACAGAGACAGACAGAAGAAGACAGACAAGGAGAGACAGAGATAGAGAGAGAGGGAGAGACAGAGAGAAAAGAGAAAGAGAGAGGGACAGATAGAGAGACAGAGACAGAGAGATAGAGACAGAGAAAGACAGAGACAGACAGAGAGACAGGGAGAGACAGAGAGAGACAAAAACAGAAAGACAGAAACAGAGAAAGAGAGACAAGGAGAGACAGAGATAGAGGGAGAGACAGAGAGAGACAGGGAGAGACAGAGAGAGGAAGACAGAGAGAGACAGAGACAGAGAGTCAGAGATAGACAGAGACAGAGAGAGACATAGAGATAGAGTCAGAGAGACACAGAGAGAAAGACAGAGAGACACAGAGAGAAAGACAGAGATAGAGAAAGAGACAGAGACAGAGAAAAAGAGAGAGAAAGACACAGAGAAAGAGACACAGGGAGAGACAGAGACAGAGAAAAAGAGAGAGATAGGGAGAGACAGAGAGGAAGAAAGAGACAGACAGAAAGAGACAGAGGTAGAGAGGAACAGACAGAGAGAAAGAGAGACAGGGAGAGACAGAGAGAGAAAAACAGAGAAAGACAGGGAGAGAGAAAGACACAGACAGAGCAAGACAGACAGACACACAGAGAGAAACAGAGACACAGAGACAGAGAGACAGGGGAAGAAACAGAGACACAGTGACACAAAGAGACAGAGACAGAGAGAGAGAGAGAGAGTGTCAGTGGCTGGCCCAGGCCTGGAGTGGGGACTCAGGAATGACGAAGGGGACAGAACAGCCGGCAGATGGGGAGGACGTGTCTCCTGGACCCCAAGGACCAGCAAGGGAGAATGAGCGTGGGATGGTTGAGGGCAGGTCTTCTGAACGAGCTTTGTGGGAGACTCCACACCACAGATGATTGGAGGCATGAGCCCAGATGTGTGTGGAGGGCCCCACTGGACACACCTGAGTTTCACCAGGGGCCTTGGGGCCCAACTTAAAGGGTGCCTGGGGCCAGTGGCCTTGGGGCTTCCACGTCTCCCCAGTGCCTCTAGAAACTTCTGCAGAGGCAACCAGGTTGCTAGGTAGCAACCAAAACAACTTGGACCCACATTTGCTGGGTCACTGGTCCCACCGTTCTTGGTGCCCTCAGGCCCAGCATTTGGGTATGTAAAACAAAGCATAGTACCCAGTTCTCAGAGCACCCAACTCCCACAGTACACAACTCGCACAGAACCCAACTCCCACAGTATACAACCTCCACAGTACCCAACCCCCACAGTACCCAATTCCCACAGTATACAAATGCCACAGTACCCAAATCCCAACTACTCAACTGCCACAGAACCAAACTCCCACATTACGCAACTCCTACAGTACCTAACTGCCACAGTACTCAACTACAATAGTACCCAACTCCCACAGTACCCAACTCCCACAGGACCCAACTACAGTAGTACCCAATCCCTACAGTACCCAACCCCCACAGTACCCAACTCCTGCAGTACCCAACTCCTGCAGTACCCAACTCCCACAGTACCCAGCTTCCACAGTACCCAACTCCTGCAGTACCCAACTCCCACAGTACCCAGATCCTGCAGTACCCAACTCCCACAGTACCCAATTGCCACAGTACCCAACTCGCACAGTACCCAACTCCTGCAGTACCCAACTTCCACAGTACCCAGCTCCCACAGTATCCAACTCCCGCAATACCCAACTCGCACAGTACCCAACTCCTGCAGTACCCAATTTCCACAGTACCCAGCTCCCACAGTATCCAACTCCCGCAATACCCAACTCCCACAGTACCCAATTGCCTCAGTACCCAACTCGCACAGTACCCAGCTCCTGCAGTACCCAACTCCCACAGTACCCAATTGCCTCAGTACCCAACTCGCACAGTACCCAACTCCTGCAGTATGCAACTCCTGCAATACCAAACTACTACAGTACTCAAATCCCACAGTACCCAAATCCCGCAGTACCCAAATACAATAGTACCCAACTCCCACAGTACCCAACTCCTGCAGTACCCAAATCCTGCAGTACCCAAATACAGTAGTAACCAACTCCCACAGTACCCAACCCCCACAGCACCCAACTCCCACAGTACCCAACTACAATAGTACCAAACCCCCACAGTACCCAACTCACACAATGCTTAACCCTCACAATGCCTAACTCCCTTGTACCTAACTCCCATAGTACTCAACTCTCATAGTACCCAACTCCCAAAGTACCTATCTCCCAACGTACCTAACTGCCACAGTACTCAACCCCCACAGTACCCAACTGCCTTGTACCTAGGTAAGTACTCCATGCTTGTTCCCTCAGAAAATACCTAGAAACAGCTATGACTGATGGAAGACCAGTGCCTGACGCCTGCAGCGGCTCCCACCACAGGGCCTGGGGGGCCGCTTTGGTTCTGATCCTGCACGGGAGCTTTCTTCCCGCCGAAGAGCATCTCATCTGTCCCTGCCTCTGAGGAATGGGGAGCCCTTGGGAGGGGCTCAGCACCACCACCGCCTGAGCTTCCCGAAGCCCCCACAGCCCTGGCCTGCCCTGCCCATTGCCGGCTGAGAGGAGGGACCAGGCAAGCCAAGGACCATGGACCTCGCTTCCTGCGCAGAGTCCGAGACTGGGTCACCAGCATGGGGCCTCCGTGATGCTCGTGTGGTCTCAGAGG